AACCGTGGTTCAAGTCCCGGACCTGGCAGCTTGCTTTCTCACTTTTTCTCTCTCTCTCACTCTGTCCCTCTCTGATCAAATTTAAAAATAAATAAATAAATAAATAAATAAAGTTAATTAATTCTTTAAAAAAAAAGTTTGTTTGTTTTTTTGGAGAGGTTTTTGTTATAGGGCGCATGCACTCATTGTATGTGTTTGCTAGACAGAGACAGAGAGACAGAAAGCGAGAAATCATGCCCCGGGGGGATGGCCACACCGCAGTCCCTTCTCCTCCATTCTCCTCTTGGGATCTTGGGCACGCACACACACGCGCCCGGTGTGAGTTTAAGCCACCGGGTCTGGGACTCGAACTGCGGTAAACTACATGGGAGTCCAGTGACATAACCATTATGCTAACTGCTGGTCCCGCCACTTTTTAAAAATACTATGTCGCTGGACTCCCACATAGTCGACCGCGGTTTGTGTCCCGGACCCAGTGGCCTAAAACTCACGCCGGGCGCGTGTGCATGTGTGCCCAAGATCCCTAGAGGAGAATGGAGGAGAAGGGGTTGTGTTGTGGCCATCCCCCCTGGGGGGTGATTTCTCGCTTTCTGTCTCTCTGTCTGTCTCTGTCTGTCTGGCGAGTGCACGCGCCCTGCAGCAAAAACCTCTCCAAAAAAAAAGCAATTGGTTGAAAAATAATCATTGCACTTGTGTGTGGATTTTCATAAAAATTTTTTTTAAATCTTCTAATATTTTTTGCTTATTTATGTAATTTTATTTTTTAGGGGCATTAATCTAGTGTGCCTTAATTGTGACTTCTTAGCTGATGTTTCTGGCTTAGATACTATGGCTACACACTTAATTCAACATGAAAATCATACTTGCCAAGTTGTACTAGAGAAAGGTATGTATATATAACTGTCATTTTGGATTTATGTATTAATTCCAATATTTTTGGTCAACCACCATATGGACTCTTTACTGAATCATTATTCTCATTCATTATATTTCATATGTGGTGGTAAATGTAAAACTTTTCTTCTAATTTCAGTTTCTGTTTGTATCCCAACTTCTGAGCATCTTTCCGAGTAAGTGTAATGTTTACTCAGTGCATTTTATTTGATGGATTTTAGCACTATTGCATTTTTAAATGTATCATTAATAGGAGTGAAAAATATTAAAGTTTTTTGTTTTTTGTTTTTAAAGCTGCTTGTTGAAATAGGTTCCTGCTCTATGGAGCTCATGACCTGGTGCAAGACAAGTTGGAATTTCCTAAGTTCAAAGTTCTGAGATGTTTTCTAACACAAAGGCAGTTAAGCAGCCAAGTTCATGACACTAGCTCTCATTCAGCTCTTTTCAGCTTTCAAATGGGACTAGATTCTTATTCCACCTTATCTTTGTGTCAGGTTGACATATCTTAATATATATATTTTTCCCCTCTAGTTGGCTCTCTCTAAAAATAACTTCTGATGCTATGGTCTTTTCTTAATTTCTTTTTCTTTTATTTATTTATTTATTTTTGCTGTCCTGGCCTTCAGAATAATACATTCCAAATGATATAATTGTTTGTCTTTTTGTCTGTTTTGTCTGCTTGCTTAATTTCTTATAAGTCTTAAGTTTTTAGGCCAGGTGATTGTCCCTTTCTTCATTTGTTGTCTGTCATTGTGCTATTTTTCTTATTTTTCAGATGCAGAGGCAGCCCAGAGATATCAAAAATGTCCAGGGTTCACCTAGACAGTGTCCCTCTTCGATGGACACAACTGATGCCTGTTCTCTCTTTCCAAGGAATGTGAATAATTTGACTATGGGAACTGCTCTAGCTTGTGGCCTTAAGAAGTCAGGTCTTGGGGAGATTTTCTTCCTACATGGCTAGCCTCCTCTAAGGCTGATGCTGAATTGGCCAGAGATGGCTTCAAGGCCCTCCAAATTGAGTATACTTCCCACTGGGAGCTTCAGCTCTTGATCTTAAGTTTATGGGTCATTTATGATCAAGAAAAGCCCATCAGATCAGTGCTTCAACATCCAAGTTGAAGTTCAGTCATTTGGGCTGCTGCCTTTAAATCTTCCTCTAGCACGCAGTCCACGAAATACAAAACTCTGGTCATTAGGAAACTATGACTATTTTCATGTCCTTGGAACAACAGGTCTCTACAATTATGTTCCAAAACTTCAGTTATAGTTACTGTCATTTAAAATATATTACCCAGTATTAACTGTAATTTTCAATTTTTTGACAAATATTTTTAATTTTAATAGCTCGATTTTAGGTTCTCCAAATTATTGATGTCTTTTTTTTATTATTTAAAAACTTGTTTAATATTTGCTTTGTTTTTTTAAGGACTCTGAGAGATTCTGTAGAATTCTGTCTAGATTTTATGTAGCTGCCTATTTGTAGTTTCGTAATTTGGCTGCTGCTGAGATCATTAGATATTATTATATCATCTCTCCTCTCTCAGGTTTATTATTATTCTAATAACTGTAGGTTCTAAGATATAAAGACAATTGGCAAAGCTTTATCTTGCAAACCTTAAAAACAAATTTTAAAGTTGCATATTTATTCATCTACTACACAATGCTTATTTAGCCATTAATGTAGTTCTTTGGTTAAAAGTAGCATAGTAAAAATGTAAATATGGTAACCAGGGCCAGTCATGTAGCCTAGTAGCTAAAGAGCCCACATGATCTATTGTGATTTTAATCCTAGCCCTGGCAACTTAAAAATATGTATGGTAAATAGTAATGTATATGTTTTCATGTGTGTGTGTATATATATTTATATATATATAAATGTATATGTTTATATATATATAAAATACATATATAAATATATATTTAAATCAGCATTTATTTTAGTTAACACTGAATATAGATCTACAAAATAGTTTTGATATAATATTTTATTTTAATAAAAAATTATATCATTTAAATACCTTACAAATTGTTTGCTGACAAATAATTTAATATAAAAGGTATAGATTTTATCCTATAAATAAGAACATTTTTTCAGTAATTGTGCATAAGCCTTATTTCTTGGCCTTCAGACAGAAAGCTCTATCTCCTTCCTGCATCTTGCAGTTTTTTCCTCTAGCAAAATTAAAATGTCAGGGCCAGTCAGTGGCGTGGTGGTTAAAGGCACTGGATTCCCATATGACTGACCATGGTTGAGTCCCAAACTTGGCAGTTTGCCTTCTCACTTTCCCTTTCTCTCTCTGTCTCGCTTTCGTCAATTTTTTAAAAATAAATAATAATAGCAAATGGAATTAAATAAATACTTTTTTTAAAAAATTAAAATGTCACTTTACTGCATAAGAGTTTTGAAGACTAACAAAATGCTTTTTGTGACCTTAATAATCATAAGGATTGGCAGATTTTGAAATTATGACTCAGTTGTAGGTTTTTTACTCTAAAATGAAAACTTTATTTGTACTTTGGAACAGATTTAAAGCCAGTTTAGATGACCACATCCTAGGTAATGTGATTAATAAAAATGTTGAACCCATTAGTTTTAAATTTCTAGACTAAATTACTGTGATTGATAGATTTCCCCAGAATTTTCAAAAGTGGCATTTTATAGTAGCGGACTCGGTGATACATTGGTTTCTCTTTCCTTATGTGTGTCTAGGAAGTTTTGTCACATACCTTCTTTCTATCCAGTGTTAAAAAAAATGTTGCTTAGAAATAACTTTGCATTTTAACATTACTTTTACGTTCATTTATAGATATTTACTTTAACTTGGTCATAGTTCAAAAGCATGATATTGCAGTGTAGGAGTACTGCTTTCTGATTTTTCATAGGATTCTGTTTTTTTATAATATCCATTAAGTTAATTTTATTAAAATATAAACTCTTAAAAGTTTTGTCACTTGTAAATTCATTTTTTTAAAAATAGCTTTAAAAAATCCCTTAAGGCGGTCAGTACAAAGCTTGCTTTTTATAGGCAGTTAGTAGCATTATAGTTTGGTGCTAATGAGTTTTAGCTTGAGTCTGACCCCTTCTTACTATCAAGTTACTTAAAACAGTTTATTCGCCTGATCAGAAAGAGCCATTTCATACTTGTGTGCTTTTGATTACCACTGAATAAAAGGTGTGATTGGTTCAGTATCAGTCCATCACTGTTCTTAGAAAAACAGATCTTAAAACTACAAGGATTTGGATTCTTGCCCTGCTTTTGTCATGTTTTGGCAAAATATCCTGTCTCTTTAGGCTTTATTTTTCGAGTAATAATTTATTGAGTGTGTACTTTGTGTCTGGCTCTGTTCTAGATGGTAGAAAAATGAACTAAAATGTCTGCCCACTGAGAGCTCACATTTTAGTGGTAAATAAAAAAAAAGAATAAAAAGTAAATAAATATATAAATATATAGTGGTCAATACTATGGAGATAAATGAAGTTAAGGAAGGGTGAGGTAAATGATTATGTGATAGGAGTTGGATGGCTGCCATTTTATATTTGGTGATCAGGGTAGGCTTCACTGAGAGATGACATGTCAATAGAGACATGAAGAAGGCAAGGAGGTCAGCCATTTGGATATAGATCAAAAGAGCACTCTGGGGACAAGGAACAGCTAGCACAAAAGCCCTGACGTGGGATAATGTCTGATTCAAGGGACTGCAAGGAGACCGATTCGGCTGCAATGGAGTAAGCAACAGAGAGAATACTAGGTGATGCGGTGTGAAACAACTTATGTGCCACGTGATATAAGGTCTTATGTACCATGGTAAACAATTTGGTTTTTACTCTGAGATGAAGAGTCATTAGAGGATTTTAAATGGAGGATGCTTCAGTAAAAACCAAAATAAACAAAAAACCTAAATATAGAAAAATGTCTAGCTGGGACCAGCAGTTGGTGCAATGGCTATGTTGCTGGACTCCTATGTGGTCGACCGCAGTTTAAGTCCCGGACCAGATGGTTTAAATTCACACCGGGCGCATGTGCATGTGTGCCCAGGATTCCAAGATGGTAACCAGTCGGTGTCTGCCAAATTCTGAATGGTGAAACTAATGTCTGTAATTTATAAAAGGTCTGGACACAGACACACACACACACTCATGCTTTCTGTCTCTCTCTTTCTGGTGAGCACGCGCGCCCTATAGCAAAAAAGCCTCTCAAAAAAAAAAAGAAAGAAAAGAAAAACATCTAGCTGCTATCTTACAAATAGCTGTAGAAGAACAAGGGTAGAATCAGAGAGATCACTTAGGGGGTTATTGTAATAATCCAGGTAGGAGATGGCAGCTTAGGCTCTGATGCAAGTAGTATAGGCAATAAGTGGTTTGATACTGGATATATTTTGAATTTGTTGATAGTTTAAACATGAAGTGTAAGAAAAAATATCAAAGATGACTTTAGAGCTTACAATCTGAGCAGCTGGAAAGATGGCATTGATATTACTGAGATGGAAAAATCTGTGGGAGAAGTAGATTTTGGCAGGAAGATGAATACTTTGGTATGAGATATGTTTTAGTGTGAGATACCTGCTAGATATCCAAGGGGGCACAGCAGTGAAACGCAGTGCTCTGCAAGGCAGTCTTGTATGGGAAATTCCAGCTTCAAGTCTGGAGACTTCTCTGAGTATTCCAGGATTGTGTGTTTCTCTTGCTCCTGGAAGAAAGAAAGAGTTGTTTTTGTTTTTGGTTTTGGTTTTAAATCAGGCAGGTGGGGTATGGTGGTTAAAGCATTGGACTCCCACATGGCTGACCGTGGTTAAAGTCTCAGACCTGGCAGCTTGCTTTCTCACTTTCTCTCTCCCTCTCTCTTTCTCTGGTAAGCATACATAACCTATAATGAATTAAAGAAGAAGAAGAATTAATACATTAAATAATTCTTTTTAAAAATTCAGGTGGAAATATTATAGTCATTTATGTGAGTTTAGGAGAGTGCTGTAGGCCATATTATTTAATGTTTAAAATGCCATGAGAATGAGTACAAGTGAACCTGGGGAAATCTAAATGTGGTATTAGTGGACCGTCTGTTAGTGACATCCAGTTGTGATTTTGTAGTGGAGTTTTTCAAGACTTTATCATTGGGGAAAAACTGGACAGAGAGAGTACATAGGGGATCTCTTTTATTTCTTATATTAATAACTATGT